CAAAATATGTCTTTTAGCTTTCTTTAGGTAGTAATAATCCCCTGTGGTTTTTCTTTGTGCCTCGGTTCTTTTCCATGGGATGTAGTTTGAACCGGGAAATTTTTTTCTTTGAGAATAGATTAGAGTTTAGAAAATAAATGGAGGAAGAAATATGAGATTTTTAGGGGCTCTTGACTTGTTTGATAGTAGCGTATTCAGGTTTTGGCATGTGTAGTGCATTTTCTATGTTTTAAAAATTGATCATGAAGCCTTTATAAATTGGATAGCATGTTTTGTGGCACCTATTTCTCGTTTTCTTGACTTGTGTTCACTTTGTGCTTAATGCTCAATATCTCGTGGCTCCGTGAATACTTACATTGTTTGAGAGTCAGAATGTGATCGTCCTTAGTGAGTCATGTGCCATGTGTGGTGAGATTTTTGTGTAGTCCATGTATTGTACTTGTGTCTAGAACTTGCCCGGTATGTGAGTTGAAGCGAAATTTTAGGTGATGCTCGGTTTGAAAAATGATTTTAGGCTTTCTTTGATCTTTTTGAGCTTATTGCTTATCACAAATAAAATCTATCCCTAGTTAACCCTTTTGAGCCTGTAGACCTTTTATTTGGTACCCACATTACAAGCCTATACCCTTTTTATTCTTAATTGACATTGTTTTGATCCTTTTACCTCTTAAAGCACTTTAATTGTGAAATGAACGCTAAAAGAAGTAAGAAGGGACTAAGTGTGGGGTGACTTTTGAGTGGAACCAATGAAAGAAAGAAGGGTGCACTTATTTTGTAAAATAATACACCACTAGCGGAAATTGAAAAAAAAAAAAGAAAAAAGAAGAGAAAAATCGGGAAAAAGAAAGAAAGAAAAATATAGATGAATAAATTGTTGTTTTGTTCTTGCTAGTGGGTATAAATTAAAGTAGTGCTTAAAGAAAGAGAAAATATTGTTGGGGGTGATATTATTTGTTAAATTGAAGTGGTGTTGAAGAATTTGCGCTTAAGTTATTTGGTGATGTGTTAAAGTACTTAGGAGGTTGAGTCACTATTCCTAAAATATATCCTACCCGTCCCTTAGCTCACATTACAACCATANAGGGCCTCATGGGCGCGGGTTTGAGCTTCACTCTCCACAATATTTATTTTTCTTGTTCAAGTTTGAACACCTTTAAAATATTTTCTAGCTTCGCCTAGCAGTAGTATCGTTTTAGGTGCGACCGTTCCAATTGCTTGGTAGTTGTTTGTCGTTTATCATACCGAGCTTGTAGGATCCTTTACCGACGATTTCGAGTACCTGATACAATCCTTCCCAGTTCGCACCCAGTTTTCCTTCATTTGCTCTAAAAGCACCAGGAGTAGATGGTATGACTCTTTTTTTCTTTCAAAAATATTGGAATATTCTTTCCATTGACTTATGTGCAATAATTAAAAGTTTTTTCCATTTCAGGTTATCTTCTCCCTTTATGGAATCAAACTCTTATAATGCTAATCCCTAAAGTGAAAAATCCAAGTGGTATTAGTCAATTTAGACCTATAAGCTTTTGTTCAACTGTCTATAAAATTATTTCTAAAATTATTGTTGCTAAATTGAAAACATATTTACCTAAGATAATTTCTCCTAATCAATCTGCTATTATTGGAAAAAGATAAATTCTAGACAATGTTGTTTTATCTCATGAGTTTATACATCTTTTAAAGAATAAAAGAAGAGGTAATAAAAAATACATGGCTTTGAAATTGGATATGGCTAAAGCTTATGATCGTGTTGAATGGATTTATATCCAACAATTACTTCTGAAAATGGATTTTCATGAGACATTCGTCACTTGTATTATGCTTTGTATTACTACACCTACATACTCGTTTAACATAAAGTGATACCTACTAGGGGGTTAAGACAAGTTTATCCTTTGTCACCATATTTGTTCTTAATATGTGCCGAAGGTCTTTCTAGACTATTAAATCATGCGGAATGCCAAGGGGATATTCAAGGTCTAAGTTTAGTTAGAGGGGGAACTAATGTAAATCATCTTTTCTTCGCAGATGATTCTTTTATCTTTTGTTCTGCTAATATCCAAAATGCTACTAATATCTTTAAAATTTTAAAAGTTTATGAAGAATGCTCTGGACATAAGGTGAATTTTGATAAATCAGCGATAATTTTTAGTAAAAATACTCTTGAAATTGATAAAGAAGGTATTATTGCAGATCTAGGCCAGTTACAAAGAAATAATTTAGGCTTTTATCTGGGTTTACCTGCAGTAGTTGGAAGATTTAAGAAGAAAATGTTAGAATTTATTAAGGATAGAGTGAGGGCAAAAATTAAGGGTTGGAAAAATAATTTTCTAAGTCCATCCGAAAAAGAGGTGATGCTTAAATCTGTCTTATCCGCGATTCCGACTTATGATTTATCTTGCTTTCAATTTCCGGATAGCCTATGCAAAGAGATTACTACTATTTTTTCTGATTTCTGGTGGGGGCGAAATGAGGACAGGAGGAAAATGCATTTTGAAAAAATGGGAGAATCTTTGCTTAGTAAAATCAAAAGGTGGTATTGGGTTTAGAGATTTAAAATCTTTTAACCAAGTTTTGTTAGCTAAACTTGCTTGGAGAATTTTAACTCAACAAGATTCTATTACTCTTTAAAATTCTCAAAAGTAAGTACTTTCAAAATAATTCTTTCCTTAAAGCTAATGTTTCATCATCTAATTCTTGGATTTGGAAAACTATTATTTGGGGAAGAGAGCTATTGCAAAAAGGGATTCGATGGAGGGTAGGAACAGGTGAAAATATTAAGGTATGAATTGATCCTTGGATTCCTAATTCTAGCGAATTTAGACCCCAACATTATCATACGCAAGTGAATATAGAGTTGCAAGTTAATGCCCTTATTGATCAACAGACGCATACTTGGAAGTTGCACGATCTTCAGAATTTGTTTTGTATTGATGATATTCATGCAATTTTATCTGTCTCCATCTCTACTACGGGCTCTTTGGATAGAATTATTTGGCATCACTCTAAATCTTGTAATTATGAGGTTAAATCGAGTTATCATTTAGCTAAGAAAATTGCAAGAGATAGGGAGGTTAACAATGCTAGACCACAATCTAGTCATCACTCTTTTTCAAAAGCTTTTTGGGAGTTCTAATTATGGTCTCTAAACATTAAGAACAAATATAAACATTTTATTAGGAAATGTATTTTGAATGTGCTACCTGTTAATTGTACTATTTCTAAACGTTTAGGTCATGTATGTGATGTATGTAAGGTTTGTGGCTTAGAAAATGAAACTATTGATTATATGCTCTTTAGATCTCATAAATCTCAGGTAGTTTGGAAATTAAGTCCTATTGAAAATACTTTAGATTTTGTTGCGTGGTGGTATGATGTTTTTATTAATGCTAATAAATATCCTGAATCTATTGAAATTGTTAAACTAAGTATTTCAATCATGTGGCAAATTTGGAAGGTTAGAAATTTATTGAATTTTAATGGGGATATATGTGAACCTAATGAAATTGTAAACAAAGCACTTTTTGATTTTCATGAATATAAAAAATCTATGTTTACTATCTTTTCTCCTCCCCACATGTCTGACTGTTCTGATAATAAAAACATTACTGTGGCACAAGATGGTGTTATTATGTTTGCAGATGTTGGGTTACAATTGGAAAAGAAGATGGTAAGCATTGGAGTGGCGGCTATGGATAGGTGTGGTCATTTGCTTCAAGCTTTTAGCACCCCAATTCAATTTGTTAGAAAAGCCATTACTGCTGAAGCACTAGCAATTCGTGAAGCTTTGAAAAAAGCTATAGAAAATGGATGGTCAAAGGTGCATATTCTATCAGATGCAAAAAATGTGGTGGATATGATAAGAAAAATGATAGTGGTCTCATGGGAGATAGACTCCAAATATCTGGAAGATGATGAATTCCTTTGAAGATATAAATATTGCATATATTCTTAGATCTTGGAATGTCTTAGCACATAATTTAGCCAAGTTTTCTATCTCGCTATTACATAGAATTACTCGGGTTTTACTTTTCCTCCTAGTTGGATTGTAAACGATGTTGTTACATCCTTTGACTCTTTGAGAGCTAGTATTATCTAATATAGAAAAGTTGTTTGTTAGGGGGGAAAATCGCCTATTTTTTTCCCTTTCTTGTTTGCGAGAAATAAAGTAATTGAATTAAACAGTTAACAGAAGGCATAAACTTTTAGAACCAATCCATTCCTATATGCTGATTATACGTCAGCAATTCTTTACCTATTAACAATTCAAATTGAATAACATTCTCAAATCAAGATGTTGAAGAAGATACCTAAGCCAATGGAATTGGTTAATATGGGACGGACCAAGCACTTGTTTAAATACTGATACATTTGATAGACATTTGTAATGTACCCTTCAGTTTACAAATATCTCAAGATTGGATATCATTCTAAATATGTTCAAAACAAAGATAATGAATATTCATCCAAGAGGCAGAAGGAAACAATTTACTGTGGCTGAAATATATGGCGTAAAACAAAATTAGACAAGGGGACAAACTAAACATTATCTGGCCAGAATTCCCTAAAAAATGCTCGCTCAAATTCTTTCTCTTGCATGCGCTTCTCAAACTCTAGTACTTTCTTCATCTTTTTAGAGATTTCCTTTGTCTTCTGTACATCAGACGCCTGAACAAATAGTACCATCGTAAGCAGCGCAATAGGCAAAAGGAAAAGTATAGGCCGATATGCGAAAACATCAAACCTCAAGCAGAGACGTATAGCCACATTAACAAACTCACTACGTAGTCGGACCTAAAACAAAGAGAAACAGCACCAATTTGATGATGAATCCTACCGACACAAATCAAAAATATGATAACCATACTTCATCTTCAAATTATCTAATGGCCAATAAAAACGTGCAATTGCTTGGAAATTGACCAATGCAATTTCTCTGCTTTCAACTTTTTACTTTTACCTGTATTGCATCATATAGGTGGACAAAGTAACTAATTCGCACATCATCAAACTACACGGGGTAGGGATGGTCCAGTAATTCATAGACAAATCAGCACTCAATTTCCTTCAATCCTGTGAAAGAAACCACTTGATCCAAACCCCCAATCTCCCTATGCACAAGGCATACTCTGCTTTACTGAAAGTACTTTTCTCATTTTCTTCTCAACTCACATGTTATATAGAGAGCCACAATCCAATGAACATCGCGATGGAGATTGCAGAGAAAGTCTCAGGCAGTTTCAATGGAAAGAAACATTTTTGGGGACCGCTCTTAGAAGATCAGTACAACAGCTTTAGAAAATATACAATGTATCTTCTTTTTTTAATTCCTTTTTTGGTATATATAAGAATCCAGATAATGTATTTTAGTAATTATTCGCAAAACTTACATAAAAGGTACTAAGGGATTGTTCAGTTACCAATCCCGATGTGGAATCTTGGTATAATTTTATACCGCATTCAATGTGGAATAATAATCTAAGGATTAGCTATCCTCGGATAAAAAGGTAAAATAACAACACTGCTCTTTTGCAAAGACCTTTTTAGCTTTCTCAAAGAAGGTCAAGGTTAAACTGGGAAACCGAAGTTTATCCAGTTTTAAAACCAAACACATATTTAAGATTATACGCCACATATCTAATTTTTCATGCAAAGAACCAAACAAATCTAAGCACTCAATAATCCAGGGATCAGTACGGATTGCTATTGTTGTGCTCTCTACTTTGAAAATGTTTCAACGTCTTTAAGTTTTAATATGCACATGAATATTAAGTTATAGCCTTCCAATGATTTTAATACGTCTCTATGATTTTCAATGACACAATGCATATTTTATGAAATGAAAGAAAGAATATGATATATTGCCATTGAGCTAAGCATGAAGATTATGATGAATGGCCAAAAATGCCAACGAAAAGAAAGATTTTATGAATGCTATGAAGAAATGATTTTTGGGAGTATTGTTAAGTACCGAGAAGGTGAAAGTCCAAAGAAGCATTCACCCGAAACTACACATGCCGGTGTAAGTAAGACGTTGGGTTCGAGTCCCAATGCATCCGGGTAAGACGATGTGTTAGAGTCCCAGTCGCACCAAACCCAAATTGATCACCCTCACTGGGACAGGAATGCTAACTTAAGTTCACGTCGATCCACACAATATTGTGGTGAGACGGCTTAGACGATCGTACCGAGATAGGACGCCATGCCGCGCACATCCAAGGCAGTTTGGTTCACTTGAAGGCACATCAAAGGCCGATAGCCAAGGAAGTCCATCGATTGTCTAGTTTGGGATCAGGCTCGCGGATTCTAGCGAGGGGAGGGTGATTGTGCAAAATAGAGCCGACCCTTTACTGGTAGTAGAAGTTGAGGAGAAATCGTATGATGATCCATTCTTGGCGCAACTGAAGGAAGGAATTCATAAACACAAGACTACGGCTTTTTCTCGTGGTGTGAATGATGGTACGTTAAGGTACCAAGGGTGATTGTGTGCCCCTTATGTAGACGGCCTTAGAGAGAGAATCATGACTGAGGCTCACAATTCCAGGCATTTCATACTTCCAGGTTCTACGAAGATGTACCATGATCTTAAGGAGATTTATTGGTGGAATGACATGAAAAAGGAACATAGCCGACTTTGAGCCTACGTGTCCAAATTGTCAGCAAGTGAAGGCCGAGCACCAGAAACGCGGTGGGATGGCACAGAACATAAAGATTCTAATGTGAAAATAGAAAATGATCAATATGGACTTTGTGGTAGGTCTACCTCGCACGCCTTGCAAGTTTGACTCGATGTGGGTGATTGTAGACCGACCTATCAAGCCTACGCCTGCTTTCATACATCAAGACAATTCATGCCTAGGTTCCAACTTAACTATTGAATATTTTAATGATATATGTTTTTAAAAGTAACTAAACAAAGAGTAGAATTAAAAGGGTAAATTAGTCAGATCGTAATTCTTTTACATTAATGATAAATAGGTTAAAAGAAGTGTTACTAGAAACTCAAAATAAGGGAAGTCAGCGTTATGAAGCCATAAGCGTAATATTGTAAACAACAATAGAAGTCATTGTTATGAAGCCATTTAAACCACAATCAATGTTATGAAGCCAAACGTGAGGGGATATCTCTAAAATTTTCCCTAAAAAATTTCATCAAAAGAATTTTGCCACTTTATTTTGGCTTCTCACTCTCCCAAAGAGAGTAAAATACATTCTTTCTGGCACATTGGAGCTTGGGGGGGGGGGGGGGGGATTAATTCCACTCTGAAATAGTTTAGAGGGGGTAATAAGATCCTCACAAAGATGAGCTTTGTAACTGAAAATCCGTCCTTAGTTTAGGAGGGGCTTTATGCCTTTTCCCTATTTTTTACTTTCTCACATGGACCGGGACAAAGTATGCAATGATATAAGTGGAGGAAAAAAAAGCAAAGCAACTTTCATATAACTGTAAAACTGGATTCTACAAAAAAATTATTCTAGCCTTGTCGAAAAGCCTCCAAAAGTATGGGTCACAGAATCTATTATCTCACCAGTGCAAAGATAAGTTCTATGGAATTGTATTAAAGCATTATAGCATCTCATGTTAAATATTCCAAAATATTCATTGCTTAAAGCTTATGTTAAGAGAACTTCTTAATTGGTGCTTTACATAACCACACCTTAAAGGGTCAAATTTCAAGAAATCTAGGTGGATCTTCCATACTATTTTCTATGGCCATCAACTTTCTCCAAACCCAGACATTAGATCAGCTCTATTTCAGCCAAAGGACCGTTAGTTAATCCCTTTCCCTATTGTAGGTTAATAAAACTTTTTCCTACATCACTTTCCCTCCCGCCAAAGCACATGTCCTTTAGCAAAGTTCAAAATTGTTGCACTTACAAACATCAAGCACTTTTTGTCACATGTGGCAACTGTATCTATCCCTGTCACTGAAGAGAATGGAAGGATCATATGTATAGGTTATTTATGTTTGGAATTCGTAAAGGCATGTTAAATTTCTACTTAAGCCTGCCAACCCAAACTACAGAGCAAAATGCATTAAATAGCATCAATTTTGAAACAAATGCTATAATACGCATTCAGAGCAATGGAAACTTACTTTTTCTTTCTCCCCATCTTTTACAATCCTCCCGCCCAAGGAAAGCCCGGAACTTTTATGGTGCTCTGCTGCCTTCTTTGACTTCTCTGCTCCCAAGCCTCTCTTATTTTTCTTGATATAAGTTGGCACAGGTTCCAATCTGCCCTGTTAAGGCCACAAGCATATCAGAAACAACTTCACATTGCAACACAATGCTCTAGGGATTCCAAAAGTAAAGACAAATTACCTACATCACATTTTGATAGAAGAATCAAATGACCATAATGTTGGCTTGCAGCTTGGCTAGCCATTCTTTTTAAAGGTTGTTAGTGGCCAAATCTCTCTTGAAGGGTGAGCAGGGTGAGTGTAACAATCGGACCAGTCGTTTTGAGCTCTAGCATTACATTCGGTAGATTGAGCAGTGTTGTCAAAGGCTCGTTTAAGGCGCGCTTAAACCCTGAAGCTCAAAAAAGCTCAAGGAGGGCGCTTCGCCTCGCTTTAGTTGCACTTCAGTGTAAGGCAAGGCACTAAGGCATGCGCCTCATCGCCCATGCGTTCTCTCTTGAATCAAGAGGCACTAAAAAACAATTATAATCAGAAATAAGTGTATTACCTGCTAAGGGAAACATTATAAATGAATTTGTTACTTTGTTCTTAAAATACATATAAATTTTTATTTATTTCCTTCATTGCGCCTTTTTTAACTCACACTTTCTGTGCGCTTTGCGCTTAAAGCCCAAATAGACCTAGAGCGCTTTTTAGAGTTTTTCGCCTTTGACAACACTGAGATTGAGATCTTGAGTAGCTTCATATGATGCAATATGACTTGAGTATATGGTTGGTTTTGACTTTCGACAGGTTCGGGATTGATTTGGAAGAGTGATTCTCAATTTGGAAGCTTTAAGTTGGAAGAGTTGACCAAGGTTTGACTTTTGAGTAAACGACCTCGGAATCGGGATTTCATAGTTCCAACAGGTTTGTATGGTTATTTTGGACTTGAGCATACATTCGGATTTGGATTCGGAGGTTCCTAGAAGTTTTTGGCTCTATTTGCCGAAAGTTAATAATTTGAAGGTTTGGAAAGTTCATAGGTTTGACCGAAAGTAGACTTTGGTGTTATCGGGGTCCGTTTGATGTTCAGAGACTTTGGCTAGGTTCATTTAGTGAACTGGAACTAGTGTGCAAAGTTTGGTTGTGATCCGGAATGTCTAAGTGTGATTCGAACGCGTTTGGCGAAGTTGGAATGTATGAAACTTAAGAGCATGATTTGATCTTCGATTCTTCATTTTGATGCTATTTGTGGTGCTTCAAGCCTTTGGATAAGTTTGGATAATGTATTTGTATTTGTTGGTATGATTGGACGGGGTCACGAGAGGCTTGAGTGTGTTTTGGGTCATTGATTGAAAGTGTAGTTAAGTTAAGGATTTGGAGTTTGACAACGGTCAATATCGGGTCAAAACAATCTCCTTTCGGTGTTTTGAGTGTGCGAGCAGGTTTGTAGCGTGTTTTACGATTGAAATGCATATATGGTTTGTTTCTGGGAGGTTCCGAATAAGTTTCGGGTGCTAAAACTAAGATTTTGCAATTGCTGAATTTTCTGGTGTGACAATCCCGAAAATACCGGTTATGTCCCTGAGTTCGTCCATAAATTTCAGTCTTCCTTTAAAACTTCAAAACATCAAATCTCTCTCATCTTAAGACCAAAGTGAGTGATTCAAAAGGCACCCAAAGATTGTGTTGGGCTTGCCAAAGATGAGTTTCAGAATCATCTAGCATCTGATTCGGGTGGGGACAACTGCTGCATTTTTTAATTATTTCGGGATTTAGTCACTTTTTCTCATAATGTTTTGGAGCTCGAGAAGAGGCGGTTTTGAGGAAATTTTCATCACTACTTTGTGGGTAAGTTGACTCTGCTTAGCTTCCTTACTAGCTTTATAAGATTTTCAAAACTAATTTAGGTTAGCTTTGTAATTTGACTATACTTAGCTTCCTTACTAGATTAAGGGTATTTTGGTCATCTAGCCTAAATAGCACTCTAGTATAAATAGTCTATTCCTCTCATTTTGAAAAGAAGCTTATGATGGATTGATAAACAAAGACAAACCTTGAAAGGCTTAGGGTATTTTTATTTTCTCTTTATTTACCATGTTTTCTTAGATTATCTATGTTATGTTAATCATGTATGAGTTCATGTTCATACTCTTGGATTATTTTTTGTATTTGAATGTTAATTCGTTGTTATAGTTGATATATCTAATAGGGGCTTTGAATTGCATTCTTTACTTAGCTTAATCCGTGTTACTTGTTCTTGTTCTTGTTCTTCCTATATTATTGTTTATTATAGGAATTCAAGGAGTTTAACTAGTTCATAGTTAAACTCTTGTCTTTCTCTATTTTAAACCCTAATCTCTTATCTTTTTGATTCTGTGTATTTTTGCTATCTCTGATTCCGTATTATTATCATTGATTAAGTATTTATGATATTAAATTGAAATTTATTCTGTATTATTATTTATATCATGAAACATTTAAAGGCTTGATAATTGGAATCTTTTGTTGCTGATGAGTGTTGGCTTGCCTAGCAAGCAGTTTAGGCACCATCACGGCCTTGATAAGATTTAGGATTGTGGCAGTGAGGAAGCCAGATAGTAGGTGCATGGGAATGGTTAATTGTTGATGCATTTACCACGATCTGCATCAACATAGGCCGACAAATCAGGCACATGAGAAAAAGAGGGAAGAAGTCAAAAAGGATGTGTGCTATTGATGGAGGTCCACGAATGGGTATTACCGAAGAGGGCGAGTGCAAGAGGAGAAGATAAAGCACTGGACCAAGAAAAAAATTGAGAAGGTGATACAAAGGCGCTAGATAAAAGTCTCTGCTTTGCAAAGAAACACTAAAATACTCCAAAACAAGAACTAATGTTTGGTGTTGGTTGACCATACCTATGAATTTAGCATGTGGCCATGCAAAAGGATATCACGATAGGTCAATAAATTATCATTGGATAACTTTTATATCCTTTTAATATATGCGCTGCACCTCCTCTCGAATATACTATTTTGTTGAATCGGTAACNACTTGGTATGTACACTCCTCTCCGTGGTCCAGAGATAAAAGTTCTTTTTCCCCTTCTCCTTTGTTGTTTTTTTCTTTGATGAAAGTCCAGAGATTAAAATCTTTAAAGGCACAACTAACTTTTTTTAAACTGACAAAGAATAAATCATTCCCAACATGTGCTTAACCATCAAATCAGATTCAGTCGCAGAGCAGGAGTTTCAGTTAACAAACAACCAGATAAAATGGTAAATGCCAGAAAAGACAATCTCAGCACGCAATGAAATTGCAAAAGCCTCGCATAGTCTTAAAACTAAAAGAACAGATCCGTTCAATAAATGCAGAAAAGTACAACTAATACATCAAAGTTTAAACAGGAAAAAACAAGGGAACTGAGTAGTAGATGAAATAGAAGGAGATGGTTAACTCAAAAGAATTGAAAGGAAAAGGAAAGCAGTACCTGTTCAGCAATGCCAAGTCCAGTTCCTTCTCTCCAGCCATGCTTTTTCAACAGCTGAAGAAACAAAGAACCCTTATATTTAGTATTTTATAAAATGTAGGGGGAAGTCGAGACGTCAGCAAGATGGTTAACATGGAGGTCAGGTCAAACTCATCACAGCATGAGTTATATGTCCAATATAAAATATTCATGCTTGGACCGGTGCCTTAACTGCCCAACTCTACCTAACAATAAGAGTAATATTCTCCTGTTTTTTTCTCTGTATCCTTTATCTCAATCCGAAAAGATTGAAAAATCATCACAAACCTCCCTTATTTCTTTTCTATTGCAATTTCTGGATTATTATATGATGATTTTTGAACTTTCCATATATAGAAAAGAAATAGAAAGAGATAGACTAGAAACGACATATGTTATGTCAATGACACCAAAGGGATATTAAATGAATGGAATTGGGATATGGATGGAATATAATGAAATAGAGCCACTTTGAGGTTCTCTCCGAAATGAGGCATGTAAGGGAGCCACTACGAAGAAGTTCCGGGAGTTACGAAGGAAGCTTCGAGCTCATATTGGTCATGGGTTGGGAACGGGAATTGAATTCTATGAGATCGAATCTCCTGTTGTTCCTCAGTAGCTCAGTGGTAGAGCGGTCGGCTGTTAACCGATTGGTCGTAGGTTCGAATCCTACTTGGGGAGATTTGATTGATTCTGAATTAAAGAATTCAGAATAAAGGGGCTCGCTTTGCCCGTTAAGAGTAGGTAACCCGTTCCCTGTCTTTGTTTCTATTGCATTCTATCTCATCGTATCACATTCTGTTCTGCGAGATTAGAAAATCACCATCAATACCTCGGTCTAGGTCCGAGATAATCCTTTGTTCCATAGCCCTGGGGCTATTTACAACTAGCCAATTAAGAAGTCTCAGATATACTAGCACTGCATCAAAGATGCAGTCATCGATTCTCCCGAGAGGTCACAATTGCCGCGAGCAAAGATATTAATGACGAGGANTTTTTGCTGATTTAGTTTACTATTTAATTTGCCCAGGTTGTTTCCCTTATTTTCCATGACCATATTTTTGTTCTACAAAATAATAGATTATAAAAAAGTACATGAATATATGGAGTCATTTACTGCATAAAGAAGTACATGAATATATGGAGCAGATTACAAAGAATTACACAAGCATTTGGTCGTTGTTATATATATATAGAGAGAGAGAATGGCCTATGTTTTACGTAATTAAGTGGCTTTAGTGCCATCATTTTGATGAAAAAGCTAGTGTTCATGTTTTTCCGAAGTCGGGATATTTTAGTAAACTTATCAGTACAGTACTATATAGTTAAATCAAACAACAAAAATGCTATTTAACAGCAGCAAAACATACAATATATCCATACGTTGTATCCATAGAACGATATAATACAATACAGTACTTATAAAAGGATAGGTAACAATGATCCAAATAGAGTGAAAAGAGCAACAAATAACAAAATCGCTAGCTTTTTTTTCCTGAGCAGCTTGCCCACTAAAAGATTTAAAAGAGATTGATCAAATACAAACAAGAATTCTCTTACGTATTTTGTTCCTAGGTTCAGACTGGATTATAATGACTTTAATTTGAAGAAAAGCACTGTTTACTTAAAACATTCTTTAATAATTAAAGAAATACTATGATTTTCCTACTGCTTGGGGAAAAGCTAAAGGAGAGAGGGCAGACCTTAAAACCAAGGTTGGAGGAATGAATAGGAATTGAGGTTGAAGAAGCACCCGTTTCGGCATAACTCATAGACAGTCCCAAGCCGGCGGATTCATACTCTACTCCTCCTCCACCCGATCTCATATCTTTGAATTCACTTTCTTATTTCTCGTTCCTACGAGCAGAAACCAGAATCGGAAAAAAAAAAACAGAAGCCAGAAATTCTTCTAAACAGCAAAGATGGAAGAAATTTGAGTGACCGAACCACCTCCTTCAACCTCAAAAATTGTCTCTGCAATTTCTTTACAATTAGTTACTTTTATTTAGCAGTACCAGAAGAATAAGTTTACAATTATCAAAACACAGACATCCAAAAATTGTGACGTGGCAGAAGGATAGGCTAAAGTGCACAAAAGGTTACATAGACTGTCATGTAGGGGAAAATCATTTAGTAATGACGTATTTATTCAATTAAGAGAAGATCCTGTCAAAATTCTTTTTTATTCTTTCACGCTACTAAAACCTGAAAGCACAAGGCTTTGGATTCTGTTTGGGAAAATTCACTTTTGACTTTATCAACGCTTCCATGTGTAAATTACCATAAAGAATTAGAATACTCCAAGGAACGGGCCAAAAAATATCTTTGATATAGGCAAGCCACGTTAGCACCATGACAACCTTCATCGGACGCCACGTGCTATCAGTAAGGTCTCAACAAAGATCCGTCCCAGGTCAAAGTAGCCCTGAAGCGACGAAAAGTGTGGTCGAAGAGTCACCAAAGATCAAGTTCGTGAAGTCATCGCAGATCAAGGTCGAGGTCGAGCATCTTAGACAGAGTAATAACGCCTAATTTTAACATAGGACATTTTAAGATAGAACACAAAAGAGAATATTCTAGTGGATATTTTCTACATCTCTACTATTAGAGTTTCTAGGAATATGTTCCTTATAAATAGAAAGAAACACAATGAAATGGGCATGAGATATTCATTTGTAAGAAATCACATTGACTTTATAGAGAGAATCTGATCATATTACAAGCATACAAAAATAACATTTTCACTAAGATTCATGTTTAGCTTTTTAGTGTTCTAAGGCTCATCAATCATTCTTCATTGTCATGAAGAATATTCACACATCTCAACCCTTTTCGGGTGACTCACACGCTTCTATTTACGTAAATGTCATTTATTGATATTTATCACTACTTAATGCTATCTTCCATCTTTTTGGATCATTGAATATTGTTATTAGTGCTCACATTCATTACCATTCGATCAATATACATATCATCTATCATAAAACCAATAACATTATCTTTTGGATATTATTATTAGCAAAGATTGATTCTTCATTATTTAAATCTATTTGGTTGAACCAAGATTTATATTTTTGGTCAAACAATTTGGCGCTGTCTATGAGGACTTTTTAGTTAATCTTTTAGTTTCCTTTAGATCTACAACTCTCGTGAGTCACTAACTTAACAAACCTCGAAGATCTTTCTTTTTCTTTGCACGTACGGAAACCTACATGGTAGGTAACCAAGGAGATAGGAGTAAAGTGACAAGTGATTTCCCTAGGAACCTCATGAATGCAATCAACTAGGGGTAGACGTGGTCGGTTCGGTCGATTAATATGAAAGTACGGTTCGGTTTTCGGTTTTATAATATTAATAACCAAATCAAACCAAAGTATTTACAGTTTGGTGCGGTTTTTCAAGGTTCGATTTAATTATTTTCGATTTAATTTTTCGGTTATTTAGGGTGCAAAATTTTTCTGTGTTGACTCATAGACTGCTCGCTTTTCTAGTACATTGTAACATTGGAAATCTTGCATACTCTACGCTTCAGCAGGCAGCAGCTAATTATTGGATCCTCTATCATCCGTCATTTTCTATTGTTGTTTTAACTTTTAATAATCAAGACCAATAATATTGACATGTGTTGAAACATCTCCTTAGACTTTGCTACGTGGTTTGATTGGATTGCCTCCTTCAAATGGTGTCTTGCCACAGTCCCCTATGCATACTAAGAGCTTGGATGTTCTTAAGAAACAGGTAAAACATAGCCAAATTAATTTGTGAAATGTAATATATGCTACTGATTTAGTTTTAATTAACGTTAACCAGCTGATTCGGAAGAAGATGGTTGAAAGTGCAAAGGTATGTTCAAACTTAATATATTAATATCCGATGAGTATGAGCCATATCTTTGATTTTCTTAACTCGTGTCTCATAACTTCGATTTTTCAGTTTAACCGAAAACCGAAACACCAAAATCGTAAACCGCACCGAAAATCGAAATTTAATAATTTAAAAATCGTACACCGACCGAATAACCGATTAAACCGAAAAATTAAAATTTTCGATTCGGTCGGTATTATGCCCACCCCTACTATCAACGAGAGCTTGAAACATTAGGCGATGATGTGACACGCACTGCCTCCCCCAGGCGCGAGAGGTCGCCTCATCCCCATTGTAGCATGACAAAACCAAACGAAAAAAGGACCTCTACGTCCAAGGGGAAGAGGCCCCACCGGCCATGAAAAAGCTCCTCGAAGCGTGGTTGACCGATATGCTGGCAAGCGTGCTCAACAACTCTATTCCATGCATGACTACAGAGACCACGAAAGCCCATATAGTGCAACGAGCAGACAAACAGGGCGACCAACCAGACCCTCCAACACCAGGTATAACTCACAATGTTACTAGCAATACAGGTGATAACACCTTCGCCGTTGTTCTGAGGAGGATGGAAGAGATGGAGAACGAAAACAAATCGCTCAAAGATCAAATGACAGAACACCAAGAACGAGTCGACAAGATACCGGGCGCCCCTAAGCTACTACCAAAGAGGGACGTCGGTAGATTCATAGAGCAGTCGTACAACGAGGAAGCGGCCCCACATGCCATACCAAAGACCTTCAAAATGCCATTGTATCTCACGATATACGATGGAACGATTGATCTCGAAGATCACGTGACTCATTACGTTACCGCAGTGAAGGGCAATGACCTCACCAAGGAACAAGGTACCTTTGTTTTGCTGAAGAAATTCGCGAAACTCTTACGGGATGGGCATTAACATGGTACTCACAAGTACCAACCCTCTCCACAGAAACCTTCGAAGAAATGGCCGATAAGTTTGTAACGGCGCATGCCCGAGCCAAGAAAGCTCAAACGAGAATAAAACGATATATTCTCCATTAAGCAGTCCTTTAGAGAGGGACTTCCTCGCCCGAAACAACAGGGTAAAGATGACCCTACCAAACATGTTCGAGGGGATGGCAGTCGCGACTTCTCAGAACGGGTTGAATAGAGATGGTTCAAGGGCAACCAGTTAACTGCTGAGCCGGTTGATGAAATATTTTTCCAACCACTTGGGACGAAATCCATAATGCTTACTGTGCCGAAGTCCGAGCAGATAATGACGACCTTAACGGACCAACTCGGTGGCTTGTCTCAGTACAAGCTGAGTCTAGGAAATAATGAAGAGATAACATAATGAGGGAGTACCCAGTCTCACAACCCAATAGGGAGCGACATCAGCCATACAGCAGGGGGCCCACCCCACCTCCTTTGCGCTATGATGAAAACCCGCCCAAGCCGAGAACAGGGACTCACCGGAATGAGAGAGGTATGCCCTCATTATTATATAACTCACATTTTTTGTGTGTCGCCTACAGAAATAGTCTATGCTCTGGAGAAACTCGGAATGAAAGTGAAGTGGCCACCCAAGATGAGGTCTGATCCAGGCACAAGAAAATACAACGCCCTCTCGAGTTCCACCAAGAGCACGGACACAATATAGAAGACAGCATCGCCCTCAGGCAAGAGGTCGTGAACATGTTGCAGTAGGGACACCTCAAAGAGCTGTTGAGCGACATGGGTAGAAATAACTTCGCCAAGGGACGTGAATGCCAAGGTCCTCCAAAACCACCATCACCAGCTCGCACCATCAACATGATCATCAGCGGCAAGTGAAGTGGCCACTCATGGATCCTGCCGCTCACAAGCTCACAAGATCCATCACCCATAAATGGTATGACGGACTCCAAGAAAGTATCATCTTCGACGAGCCAGATCTCGACGGTTTGACTTTCCCTCACAATGATGCTCTCGTCATTACTTTGCGCATTTTAGATACTGATGTCAAACATATCATGGTGGAAGATGGAAGTGGAGTGTGCATTATCCATCCCCGTGTCCTCACCCAGATGAGACTCGAGTACAAGATAGTGTCGTGCTGCATCACACTAACAGGTTTAAATAATACAATTGAACGGACGTCGGGAGAAATTATACTCCCAGTCTTGGCCGACGGCATAACGCTAGAGATGACATTCCACATCATGGATCAGGCCACCACATATAATTCTATAGTAAGGCGACCACAGATACATCCCATGAGAGTTGTCCCCTCCAGTTTATACCAAGTAATCAAGTTCCCAACACCTTGGGGGATATTCAGCATACGGGGAGAACAACACACGTCCTAGGACTGCTTCAACATCGCCTTGGACAAAACGACAACCCAACAGAAAAAAGACAAGAAAAAAAAGGCATAGCAATCAACAGGGCCGAGGTCGGCACAAGAGGGGACCAAGGACGTCATCACGAATCCTGAAATGGTCAAAGTCACGAACTCAACTATAGAAGACCTCAACCCCGTTCAATTAGATCCCATCAACTACAGCAAAACGGCCTACATCGGCAGCAAACTTCGATAACTAGGTAAATTTAGTCAATTTTTAATAACTAATGCAGATTTGTTTGCCTTCAGCCATGCAGATATGCCAGGCATCCCTAAGGAGATCACCACACACAAATTAAATGTTGATTTCGACATACTTATACGATAGACCATCTTAAGGAAGAGGACCACATAGACCATCTTAAGGAAGCTTTCGACATACTTATACGATACAGAATGAAACTGAACCCAAAGAAGTGCGTGTTTGGCGTAGCCTCGGGAACGTTCTTGGGCTTCTTAGTGTCACAACGGAGGGTAGAGGTCAACCTATACCAAATAAAAGTTATCGAAGGGATACCAGAGCTCCTGACTACCAAGAAACAGTTCCAAAGGTTGACTAGTCAAATCGTTGCCTTATCGAGATTCATCTCCCAGTCATCTGACAAATGTCGCAAGTTTTTTTTCATACTCAAAAAGGATAATGGCCTCGAGTGGACTCCCAAGGGTCTACAAGCTCTGCGAGAATTGAAGGTGTATCTGTCATCACCATCTTTGCTCTCGAAGCCCAAACCTGGGGAACATCTCTTCATCTATCTGGCCATATCCGAAGTAGTAGTGAGTGCA